GAAATATTTGGTAATATAAATAATAGTTCATTTTAGTTAGCCTTGTAATGTAAATGAACATTTTTAAAATTAATTTACTGAAGCAGCAACATGATAGAAAATAAACGTATTTCATAATTAATTTTTTCCCCTGCTCTCGGAGGAGTAAGACACTTTCCCCTCTCTCCTGCCCTCCCTTACCTTTCCCTGCTTTGCCTGGAGCCTCCTCTATGTTTTCATTCGAAACCAAAAAATATGGATTTATTTTTATGGATTTGGTTAGCTGGTCTCTTAATAAATTTTTGGAAGAATTTTTTTTTCCATGGGAGGACATATAGGTGGGACCTCTGTTCTGCCCTGTTCAACTAGCTGGATATATATTTGGATGCTGCTCGGAGCCTCATTTACGTTTTCATCCTAAACTGAAAAATATGGATTTATTTTTATGGATTTGGTTAGCTGGTCTCTTAATAAAATTTTGGAACAATTTTTTTTTCCATGGGAGGACATATAGGTGGGACCTCTGTTCTGCCCTGTTCAACTAGCTGGATATATATTTGGATTCTGATCACTGGATTTCTACTTATTGGCTTGGTGGTCTCCTGGTGTTTCTACAAAACAGAGTCGGTGGCTATTCAGTCCATTTCCTGGCTGCCTGACCAATATGAAGGATTGCCGTACTATCAGCACTCAGATGTTTGCCTTGAGCGAGCTGGGACAAGGTCTGCAAGRGGTTCTGCTGAGGGTTGCAGGCTGGCTGTGGTTCCTGGACTTTGCTGGCGAGATGAATTGATCTTGGAGAAGCTGAGAGCTCGGCGGAATTGTTCACACTATTTGTCTGATTGGAATCGCCACCTTGTKCCAGCGGAAATTAAGGCAGATGGAAAATTGTTATTGTCTGCCTGACCAAAAACATTTTCTTTGTTCCCAAACAACTGATTACAGATTTGTGTTCCCCTTCCCCCCTACACTGAAGGCGGATCGAATTTCTCCTGGTGTTTACGTCAACTTGAGGCTCCTCCCCCCACCTCTCCCCCTCTCACTCCGTTTAATCTGATTTCCTGAAGGTCAACCTGGAGCTGCACAGAATGAACAATTCAACACCAGTATTCCGAATTAATGGCTGAACTATTTGTTTTTCTTATGGGAGGCTGGATCCTTTGGACCCTTTCCCTCTAAACTCACTTACTCCTCTGGCTAATAAATGTGCTCTTGCTTGTTGAACATTTTTCATAAACAACATAGTGTATCATATTTTGTTGATATAATATGATGCTTTTTTTCCTCATCTAACCTTCTGTGGTTTTGTCATTTTTCTTTTTAAAGATAGTGCAACCCCTGCTGGTTGCTGCATGACCTGTTCACCTGTTTCCCCTATGTTTTTTTTCACGTGTGTCTTCTTGAATGGGTGTTCTTAAATGTAATTCCATTGTGCTCTGTACAATGACAATAAAGGCATCAATCGATCGATCGATCGATCGATCGATCAATCAATCAATCAATCAATCAATCAATCAATCAATCAATCAATCAATCAATCAATCAATCAATCAATCAATCAATCAATCAATCAATCAACCAATCAGTCTAAACTATATGCTGCTAAAGTCATTTGGATGATAATCAGCCAGTTGTTGTACAGCTGCCTCAGCTGTTCTACTTTTTAGTTGGGTTTACAAACAAATAATATCCTTCCTGTTGTAGTTATTTGAACAGCCTTGATTTGATAAAATATACTTTAAATCTGACTAGATTGACAAGTTAATAGTTTGAGCAAGGCCAGCCAAAGTGCTGCCATTTTAAAGCAACTCTAGTCTCAAATGTCTTTTTTAAAGTTTGCAAGAATGCTTTTATAGAGATCTTTATATCTCTGTCAATTGGACATTAAATTGTTATTATGGTAGAAATGCGATGCTTCTTCTGGAAGTGCTCCTGATTGCACCGGGAAATAATGCTTGATCTATAATGTTTGAGTGACTCCTTTTGAAATTTTTGATACRTGAGTTGTTTTAAGACAGCATCTATCCACTTTGGACTTGGCCTTGCTTTGTCAAGTTGTTAAAGATGAAACTACTTCTTCAAACTGAAGTTTTTCAAAAGGCTATCAACAAAAGGTAAGACAGTAATTTTTCTTGACTTTTTCATGAACCCTCACTTCAAAACATTCGAACTACTTCTATAAAGGCAATTTATTGTGGTGTACTTATACTTATGTACACTTCCTCCTATAAAGTTATTAATGTTCGCCTGATACTGATTCTGTTTCTAAGGGAAAAAAAGAAGAAATGTATTGTTTAAAAAAGTCAGTAAGCAAACATACTGGAGGATATGTAATAAAGTCATCCAATCATCTGTAGGTGTCTGTTCAAACCAGTTGCAGGGTATTCATTGAACTGCAGCAAAGAAGCCATGAGAATCTTCCAATTGGTTTGTCACACAGAAGTGATCACAGCTTATGAAACCCWTCATTCAAGTCACAAACCACCAATTTGCRGAAAACTACAGACAAATGTAATTTGTGTTTGTAGTAAATTTGAGCACTTTGTGTCACAAGAACGCTCAAGTCACAAACCACAAAAGAGTTCATTAAGAATTTAGAAATTGTAATCACATAATAACACAATAACCCTGATAATAATAATGTCTGATTCAATCACCCTAAAGTGGTGCATAATAGAGTTTTTATGCTGAAAATTTTCCCTAAATGACTTTCCAYATGACTGCTGCTACTGGTATTTTATCACAAAAAAGTAACCTGATCTGTCATTAAATCATCTTGAGMATAGTTACAAAATTCACTTTTCATCTTTTAGTCACTTTTTGCACATTTATACTTCTCGTAATTTTAAATTACAGTGACACAAAAGATTAAAGCGATGAGATGGACTTCTTTTACTTGATTCTGGTCGACAGAACCACAAAAGATTAATGTCGTGGCTAACATTTTGTCTCCTCTAATGGATATATTTGTTAATAACTTGTGATAGGCCCTTCAGAATGGCTCTCCCATGATTGACAGTATTACTTCAATGAGGCCGAGCGGTTCAATAGTAGGTTAGGAAACTGCTCCTCATTAATTCTCTTAAGCCATTATCTGCAATTTAACCTTGACCCGCCTTTATCAAAAGACTTCCTAAGAAGGGGGGACGGAGGGAAAGCAATTGTTTGAAGCGGAAGTAATTTACCTGATGGCAAAACACATTTTCTGCAAAAAATTAATCTGTGCTGCTTCGTGCTCTGGCCCAATTTGTTACTGACACATAAATGATTAACTCCAAACCAAAAGTGAAAATATTGTTTCACCCATAATTACATTTCCTTGAGCTCCTCGCTGGCATGTTTTGCATATCAAATTTGGTGCACTTTGCTGCAATTTCAGAGTTTTGATTAAAGTTATTAACATGAAGACTTTCTCCCTCTGTGTTTTGGTAAACATAGCAGTGGGCATGGGGAATATGAGAAGGGGCTTGGTGTCGGACGAAGCAGGTTTAAAACACTTTTATATCACCTTTTTTTAGAGAAAATGAACCATGATTGAGGAAAGATTTAGACGGGTACCAACTATTACCATCATTAGTGAAAAGCAGCCTAGCTTATGAATGTGCAATCTGTAAAAAAATTGAAAAAATAAAATAGAAAAATGCAACTAAACTTGCCACCCCATGGGTTTTTCTTGTAAGATATTACCTATGTTATCAATGATAGAGTGACTGCATCACAGCAAACGTTTTCCTCCTGGCAGAGGGAAACGTTTCCAGAGTCATTTTGATTGCCTCATACGGTGTCCCTGCTGAGGTGATCATCAGCACATAGCCTGATTAGATATTTCACACCGTGCAGCTGCTAATTTGCAAGAAAAGAGTGCTGCCACTGCTTTTGGATTGGTAGGAAAGTGGAGGGGAATGTTGATAAAAAACATCCATGTACAACAGAGTGAGTCAGTGTTTCTGACTCTGCCATGTTCTGCACCGTTCATGCAGATCCCTCCGACTGTTTTTGTATTCTGCTAGAATCTTCTCCTCTCAAAAGCTGTGGCTTTGTGGTAGTTGATAACTCTTTTCAGGCTTGAATAGTTTTAGATTAAACAAATTAATAAAACAAAACAAACCAAAATGTGAGATTTTGCAGGAAACCAGAAGCAGCTTTAAACTGGAAATATACGTTAGAAAAAAAACATTGCTAGTTTTAGAGTTAATCTCAAACCATGTCACAAAATGCTCTAGAGTTATATAATCCAATGATTCCCCTGTGATGCATTGTACTTCATGCTAGATATTTTATTAGACATCACAGAAACTGATCATGCTGTAATAAAGATTAAAAAGAACCACTATGAGTTAAAAAACAAGTCTCCAATTAAGTTTGGGTAAATTTGCTGCATAATTCATTTAACACTACTGCCTTTGGCAGACAATATCTGTTTGGTTCATCATTTTTAGAATATAATGGCTACTCTAATCAGGCAAACAGTTAGCATTAATAACCAGGCAGGCTGTTTTCTAAACTAACTGCTGCACTAAGATGTGATTGTTATTTAATGTAAAATTATGATATTGTAGTGGAACTTCTTTGCTGTACTCTGTTAGGAAGATCAGTGGTCGATATGCTAATTGAGTGATAACAAACAACATCTAAGATCCTTTTAGAGAAAATGCGCAAAAGCCTTGTCACAAATAGTTTCTGTGAATTATGTTGCTTGAGTGCAAATTTAGCTCAGAAGAGATGTTTTTTTATTATTAGCTTAATATGCTGTCAGTGTTTCACCATCTTTGCAACACGGACAACTCTTAAATTACTCATGCTATGTCAACAACTGCCTTAACAAGCTCTGAAGCTCATCCCTCATCCATCTTGTTGCATTCTAAAACCTGGATCCGTCTGTTCTCTTTTTACTTTGCATTGCAGATTTTATTCCCTCTTATTTTGAAAAAAGAAGGAAGAAGGAATTTATGGCAGCCCTAACTTGCATTATCCGTCATATTTTTTCTACTTTTGAGGTCATCCCATTCATCCTACCATACCTCCTTGGAGGGGACTCTGGATCCCTTCCTTCGTGACCACCAGCTTTCCACCATAGCAATGAGGCAGGAGAGCACCACGCCAGCTGCCAGGACGCAGAAGACACCAGCAAAGCTGTGGATGTCAAGGGCGTTGCCACGCTGCCGCGTCTGCTCTAAACTGTAGAGGTCACAGGGGCTGTCCTTGGGCCACCACTTGAGTTTTAGAATGTCCATGTCGCCATTCTGCTGAAGTTCCAGGATTCTGCAACACATGGATAAAACAGACGCATGTAAAGCCCATTTTGCTAAACGCATGAAAAGAATCAGCAGATTTCACTTATGTGCCAGCCATTTTAAAGACCACATGCCTATTTTTAAAATCTGAAAATAAAGCTGAGAATACAAACAGAACAAATATTTAGCACTTGGTAAATATGCAGATAAAGTCCTTGGTTGTAACCCTGTGCTAAACTGTTAAAATATGTAGAATCATGTGAATGTTAACTATTTTGTATTAAAATGTTTGGTTTCTTGGAAAACAATTTTAATGACTGCATTTGTTTATCTAATGTTGCTGCAGTGTACTACTTTCAAAAGGTTTAGGCTGTAAAATGGGCTTATTGATAGATTAATGCTAAAACTATATGTAGTTTACCATATAATTACATTGTAAATTGAACATTTAAATTAATTGTAATGTCTAGATAAAAAACTATAATGCATTCAACATAAAATGAATATATGTTACAAGTATAAGAGATTCACATACATAAAATGTGACAGAAATGTATCACATAAATGCACTTTGATTAGGATATTTCAACATGAAATTATTAGAATATTTCAACATGAAATTATTACAAATTTTCAACATGAAATATTCACAGTCATATAGCATGCATTTATTATGCTGGAATTATATAACAAAGTTAGAAAATAAAAACATAATCTAATTGTGTGCAACCGATGTACATGTTTTGATAATATAAATCCTACAGACCTTTTCTTTCAGTGCAGCAAGCCAGACAAAGCCTTCAGAGTTTGGTTAATCAGGTAATTGATGGCATTCAAGTACCATTTAAAATATTACTGTGTCAAAAGTGTTCTTGTTCATTAAAAAACAGCCATGGCAAATAAATTATCTGCACAAATCAATATCACCAAACCCAACACTGCAGCGTTTACTGCAGTTGCTGTAGCTCCTGCCTGCCATTGGAGGGCAGTGTTGGCCAGTTAGAAAACCTCATGATCCTTGACAACCATATTGGGCTGTCAAACTCATTATTGCTAACATTAATATGTTTTGCAGCACAGCGCAAGTACACTGCCACAATGTCATTATGCGGCTTAGCTTTAGTCGCACGATTGATGGCTTCAGAGAGGATACAGCTCAGAGGTTGATGGGGTCCCTCTGTTAGCCTTCAGCTTATTATTTAACTGGGTCGTTCATTTTGGTTTGGAGGAAAGCTGCAGACAAACACACACACAGTGACAGGCTTACAGATATTTAACAAATATGGCATGAGGGGTGTGGGGAAAGGAAAGACATACAATGATGGAGAAGGCATTTCAACCCCCCTCAGAGACACATTCATATTAACAGAAATGAAAATAATCCAGCATATGCAAACTGAGCCAGCACAGACAACTGTCGATACACAGCAATAAACACACACACGCACAGACAACTGTCGATACACAGCAATAAACACACACACACAACAGGCAGTCGCAAACTCGACTGCATTTATGTCCAAGCAAACAAGTTGAGGATTCCTGCTCACACACATCGAGGCAGTGAGTAGAACTTTCCTCCCCCCAGTTTCAGTGATGACATGAATGACAGTGCTTATCTCTTAAATTCATTCTTCCTCATACTAAACACAAAGGGGAGACTTAAATCAATAACAAAATGCAAATGAACCCTGATGCTAATTCATTCATCTGCAGTAACTAGGAAAACATGCACCATTACGACATGAATCAGAGCGCCAACCTCATGCAGAGACGGTATTTTCTCACTTTGTAAGCTGTTGGTTTTAAGAAACTACATAGTTAGAAAGCTGGGAAAGTCCTTTAAATAAGACATGTCCATTTTATTGCACACTCTAGACACTCACTATAACATCTTCATGACATTCACATATATGAAATGTGGGTTGGGGGGCGCACTCTTTGACCACCATCTGTGCCCTCCCCCAATAGCTGCACGTAGACACTTATGCTGCGTTCACACCGAACGCGATTTCAGCTTCAAAATCGCAGCCAACGCTGAAGTTGGTCGCTTGTGCACTTTGAGGTCAGACGCAGGACAGCTCTTGAAGGAAGCGCAGCATGGCAAGAGCCTCCCCGCCCCTCCCTCCTCTGTCGGGCTCTGTTTAATGTCGGACGAGGAAGTGACTTTGCTTTATTTACAGAGCAAGAGCATGTCACTTTCATCAGATAATTCATTCATAATTAATTCACCAGATAATTCAGAGTAGAGGCTCACAGCTCGCTTTCAGGACTATTTTTCCAGTCTGATGAGCCGCTGCCACGCATTGGTGCAGATATCTCCTGTCAGGACACCGACTGCAGGCACTCGATTTCAGCTAAAGAGCTCCTCTCTGTCTGTTTCAGGTTAGTGGACATCATTCAGTAAACTGTCCCGTCGGGAAATATGTCGCTACGTCACACAGTGGAGTCTCTCTGATTGGTTGATGCGACGCGTCGAGCTGCAAAAGTTCAGATTTTCTAACTTCAGCGATTTGCGCCTCAGCGCGTCGAACGCTCAGATCGTTCAAATTGTTCAAATCGCGCTGCTCTAATCGCGCTTGAGGCYCCGCAGCACTTCCTGACGCTGCTTGAAGCGCGTCCACCATAGACTTTGCATGTAAACCTGATGCTCCTGATGCTGAAATCGRGTTCGGTGTGAACACACCATTAGGGGTTGGGGTGGGGGGAAAACTGGCATCCTGCCGGCCTCCGCCCCTTCTTCCTCTCCTTTTAACTACACTATAGAACAACATGCATCAATAGCACATTTGAGGGTGGGGGTGTGTGTGTGTGTCGGGGTCTTCTTTTATTTATTTATTTATTTCTCACTCCCCCWTTTTCCGACTGATGACTGGGGGTGGGGGGCCTGGACTGATGGTGGACTGGGAGCTTGGGGGGGGCGCCGGGCGGTTGGGCTTGCATTCTGGCTTCCCTGGAGCTGCGTGGACTCCCGGGATGTGGTTCCTGGTTGGCGTGGTCGGCCTGCTCCGGCGGGTGGTCGGCCTGCTCCGGCGGGTGGTCGGCTGGGGGTGTACCCCTGGCCGTTGGTGGTGGTTGGGGGATAGTCGGGGCGTGGCCTTGCTGGGGCGGGGGTGGCCGGTCGGGTCGGCGCGATCCAGGCCGGGACTTGGTCGTCTGCTCCTCTCCACCCCAGAACAAATGGGTTTACCTCCTGGGTTTGGGTGTGGGCCGCCCTCTGCGGGGGACGGGGGCATACCCTGGACCTGGGGGGTAGTGAGTGTGTATCGGGAGTGTGAATGGAGTGTGGCGTCTAAATTGTATGTCTTTGATTGAGTGGGTGCGAGGATGAGGGTGGGATTGTATGATTGTGTTTGTGTATGCATGGGTATGTGTCAGGCTGGGATGTGGACTTCTCCCTCCCCTTGTTRGTTTGTTGCCCCCATCCCATACCGCCCTCTGGTGGAGGTCCCTTGCCCACTGGCGCACGGATGGSTCTTGGGGTCTGGGTCTGGGTGCTTGGGTGTGTGCTGGCTCGGCCTGGTGGCTGCCTGTCGGGGCTTGGGTCCTCGGGCCCTGTTGGGTCTTGGCTTGGGGTGGGGGGGCGCCCTGGGAGCCGGGCCCTCTGTGCCCATGCCCGTGCTTGCCCTAGCGCAGCTTGAGTGCAGCCTGTGGATGCTTTGCTACGATGACTTCACTTTTACATCCTCAGTTGAAGTTAATCGAATGCTTGGAACCGGTGACTTGTTGGAGGTGACCAGAGGATTAATTAACACAATTCTGACTTTATAGTCTTTTACTTTCCTTTGTGGAATTGAGAACTTTATTCATGGTAGATTTACAAGAGGGAGGCCACTAGTTTATGCATGAATCCACAGTTTCCCCAAAAGTTTCCAAGGTCTGAGGGTCATGAAGAAAAGTTGTGGGAACACTTAGCTGAAACTGGATGTCTTTCCAGGTTTGCAGTGATTTTGACCATGTCTCTCATGGATGTTATTATTGCTCCTGTCTATCAGAGAGTGGAGTCAGGAACGCTGACCTTTACACAGGCAAGAGACATTCACTCCCWTGGCAGGATTTCTTGGAGCATTTGAGTGGTTTTGGAAGCTATATTTTTCATGGACCCTGTCAATCATGTTAACTGTGTATTGAGTACTAATATCTTTAATATTACAGATGATAAAATACAATGCTAGGTCTAAAACCCTTTTCATATATTTCTAACTTCAAAATAATAAAAGTATTAACATTAGTTGAGTACAATAAAGAGTTCTCTCCTCGCTCCAGCACACCCAGATTGAATGGATGGGTGATTAACAAGTTTCAGCAGAACTTGAAAGAGTTTAGTCACTGATTTAGAGCAGAAAAACAAGTAAAACATGCAGGATAGTGGTCCTTGAAGACCTGGTCTAAATTAACTACGGAAATCAATTTGCTCAACTTCAAACTTCCAAACAAAAGTAGGATACTCACTGAGTAAGCAGCAATGAKAATAAAGTAAAGCAAGAGAAAGTACTATTTGATGTATACTTATTATACTTATAATTATTTGTACCGAGTATGAAATTAATACAATCTAGTATTACGCTTTTAAATGTTATCTTCATCTTCAACTACTAAGTTTCATTCATGATGAGTATTCAAATTATGTGATGTTTCATAATTTATTTCCCCCCACTTGTTACAATTTGATTGTGTTTTTAATAGTAATCGGCTGTATTTATGGTGAGACATGTAATTGAAAAAGAGAACCAGTCAGAAGTTGTTTTGCATCTTGAAGTTCACAATAATTGGCTGTTGAGTGATGACCCCTGTCAGTGTTTTAGTGCTTTTATGGTGGGCYGGGAGACACACACACACCATTTAATCATTTAACCCATAATGATCCAATGCAATATGTATGCATTTTTACCCTTCAAGGCTGGAGGAATGGACATGRCTCATGAATAAATTCAAGACATGCAAAATATTGCAATAAAAAGGAAGCTAAATATGAGAGCGAAGTCGGTGGTCCTCAATAAAAGCATACACTTTAAAATCCTYAATTGT